TTTGAGCCGCGATACTCATGCAATTTATATACTGGTCACAAAGTGTGAAGCAACAAGGCCTCGCTCGCCACAGACACGGGATGGGGTGTCCACTTAACAAAATAATTTAAATTAAACAGAATCTGTTAGTTCAATCTCTAGCCTTCTGCTCTCTCTGCTTTTCCTCAGAGTAGCTTTGCCTCGTCTGTTCCTGTTTGGCTGTGACTCCATCCTGGAAAGAAACATCAGCTGTGCTGCTTCCATCAACACCCTTGTTTATAGATGTTGGAGATCGGCCTGTTTTCCAGTGTGGTCCTGTTTCTCTGACCGTGACTGAGTGGATGTGCTCTCTTCGTCCTCTGGCATGGAGCTACCTTGGAGCTCGTCTGGCTGGCTGCGTGTTTCCTGGACGGGGCCGCCTTTTACAGCTGCTTTTTGTATCTCTGCTTCTGTCTCATTGAACCCCAGTCGGCCTCGGCAGATGGCCGCTCACACTGAGCCTGGTTCTGCTGGAGGTTTCTTCCTGTTAAAAGGGAGTTTTTCCTCTCCACTGTCGCTACAAGCTTGCTTAGTGTGAGGGATTGTATTTGAGTCAATGAGTCAATGCAATCAACTGGTTTTCCTTAGATAGAAAACTTTGTATCAATTTGACTGTATGATCTGGTTGAACTGTAAAGTGCCTTGAGATGACATGTGTTGTGAATTTGGCGCTATATAAATAAACTGAATTGAATTGAATTAACACTTCTGCTTCAAAAAGGTCGAGCAGACTGGCTTGACCTTAACATCACCATGGAGACCCCTGGTGTCAGGGCCACCCCTAACCAGTTTGTCACCCTAGGCAACATTTTTGGTCCCCCCCCCCTGCATCCTAGTAAATTCCACTTCCAGTTTACATGCTCACACAACAAAAAACTGAATAGGCATGTCTTTGACTTTTTCTTTTATTAAGAAACAATGAAAATCGATTTAAATAACATTGAAACCAATGAAACACGGTTATAAAGTCAAAATTAGAAAAGAAATTTTTAAATAGTAATTTTAACAGCCTTTCCAAAGTGCAGTATTGAACTATCTACAAAACACTGTAAACAAGTGTCATAAAATCAATTCTAAATACAATATAAATAACCCACTGCACAAAGTGATATGGCCCAACAAGAACTAAAGAACCCAGCACTGGCACAACAAATGAAAAAAAAAAAAATAACTGCATAGTTTGTATTGAGTATAAAGTGCACATATACACTCACCGGCCACTTTATTAGGTACCCCATGCTAGTAACGGGTTGGACCCCCTTTTGCCTTCAGAAATGCCTCAATTCTTCGTGGCATAGATTCAACAAGGTGCTGGAAGCATTCCTCAGGGAGTTTGGTCCATATTGACATGATGGCATCACACAGTTGCCGCAGATTTGTCGGCTGCACATCCATGATGCGAATCTCCCGTTCCACCACATCCCAAATATGCTCTATTGGATTGAGATCTGGTGACTGTGGAGGCCATTTGAGTACAGTGAACTCATTGTCATGTTCAAGAAACCAGTCTGAGATGATTCCAGCTTTATGACATGGAGCATTATCCTGCTGAAAGTAGCCCTCAGAAGTTGGGTACATTGTGATCATAAAGGGATGGACATGGTCAGCAACAATACTCAGGTAGGCTGTGGCGTTGCAACGATGCTCAATTGGTACCAAGGGGCCCAAAGAGTGCCAAGAAAATATTCCCCACACCATGACACCACCACCACCAGCCTGAACCGTTGATACAAGGCAGGATGGATCCATGCTTTCATGTTGTAGAAGCCAAATTCTGACCATACCATCCGAATGTTGCAGCAGAAATCGAGACTCATCAGACCAGGCAACGTTTTTCCAATCTTCTATTGTCCAATTTTGATGAGCTTGTGCAAATTGTAGCCTCAGTTTCCTGTTCTTAGCTGAAAGGAGTGGCACCCGGTGTGGTCTTCTGCTGCTGTAGCCCATCTGCCTCAAAGTTCGACGTACTGTGCGTTCAGAGATGCTCTTCTGCCCACCTTGGTTGTAACGGGTGGTTATTTGAGTCACTGTTGCCCTTCTATCAGCTCGAACCAGTCTGGCCAATCTCCTCTGACCTCTGGCATCAACAAGGCATTTCCGCCCACAGAACTGCCGCTCACTGGATGTTTTTTCTTTTTCGGACCATTCTCTGTAAACCCTAGAGATGGTTGTGCATGAAAATCCCAGTAGATCAGCAGTTTCTGAAATACTCAGACCAGCCCTTCTGGTACCAACAATCATGCCACGTTCAAAGTCACTCAAATCACCTTTCTTCCCCATACTGATGCTTGGTTTGAACTGCAGGAGATTGTCTTGACCATGTCTACATGCCTAAATGCACTGAGTTGCCGCCATGTGATTGGCTGCTTAGAAATTAAGTGTTAACGAGCCGTTGGACAGGTGTACCTAATAAAGTGGCCGGTGAGTGTAAATTATTATGTTACAAAAAAAAAAAGATTTTATAGAGACCTCTAGTGGTGTTTTTGTAATGCTGCACTCCCTAGTCAATCTAATCTGCTACAGTTTTATTCTCCTAGTCTTTCTTGTAGAAAAGTGATCTATAACATCATCATATGATAACTGATTCGAGATCACATGATTGATACTTATAATGGAAGGTCCATTGAGATGTTCTTGCACCATAACAGATCTCAGGTATGTTCTAATGAGTTTAACCTTGGGAATGCTCTTTCAGCAGCAGTGATTGTAATAAGAAGAGTGGCAGAGATTCTCAGAGGAACCCACATGTTGGGGTACATTTCTGTCAGCTTCTTCTCAAGCAGGAAGGTCAACAATTCCATGTTTTGTTGTATTGTTTAATGGGAATTGTGGGGTTCCAAGTTCTGTGCCTTTTTGTTCTGAGACGGACACGACAGGAGGATTTTTTTATGTTGATGAAGCTACGATGAAGACGGCCCAAGATTTTCAGGAGTAGGGTTGAGGTATTTTAACTGAGCATCTGAAGAGAGAAAAAGGGTCTGTGAAATCTTTTTTTTATTTTATATTCCTGCAATCATATTTTATAATCAGATTTATTATTAGATTGTCTGATTAGAACAATTCAAAAATCTGTTAATTGAATTTTTGAGGGGAATGCTGAGTTATGACGAATCAACGACCATGATGTGCATCTTAACATGGATGTAAAGTTAAACACTAAAAAAACACTTTAAAAACATAAACTGTAAGAAGAAACAATTCTTACATAACTAGAACATACAACTCTAATATATGAAGGAATAGCATCTTGAAAATTACAGTCAGAGCAAACGCCAGCTAGCCAATAGCCTAATTGATAAACATTTTTTTTTTTTTAAAGATCAAATTTTTATAAATCATCCTGAGTACTTTTTGCCATGATGGCTGTTAGGCCAGTCCATCTCATTACATAACATTAAAGCAAGATAACACTGTTTATTGATTAGCAAACTGTGTTTTTAGCCAAACAATTTTAGGGTTAAAGTTATTCTTAAAACTAATGTTGCACCGATACAACTATCAGTAGGGGTCCCGATCCAGCACTAAAATGGTGGTATCGGTATTGGCGAGTACCAACAAATAGGGCAACAATACCATTTTGAGAAGCAAAAGTTTATTCAACTATTGTCACCCATTCCAGGTAGGCAATAAAAAGTTCTACTGGATTCACTTTGTATTAGTCTTTTTCCTGCTTCACAAAGGTAGGCAGCAGCTTGACAAAACAATGATGGCAATTATTTTACATCCAAGTAGTTTGCAGTTCTTCATTTATACACACACATCAATTTCAAACTGATGGTATCGGTATCGGCCAATACTGCACAGCCAGGTATCGGGGCCAAAAAATGCCATCGGTGCAACACTACTTCAGTTAAAGTGTCGTTCAGCAACATACAAATAGATTACATACATGACCTTCTTCACTGTACCTCTGTCCTTGTCAAGTTGTTACTCTGCTTCTTTTCTTTCTTACTTGGGCACCAGAATGTTTTGGGTCGTTTTTTTGCCTTCTGTCACCACGTCAGACCACTCGATCGGGGCACATCTCAAGCTGCAGCTGGACAACATTTTTGTAAACAATGGCTGCTTAAAAAAATACTAAATAATATTTTTCAAACCACTTCCTCTCCTAAACAGTTTAATATACATACACTAGACTTGGCACAGACCATCTTCACACCTTTCCAGCGCTCGAATAATTTTGATCATCTAATGATTTTTTTTTTTTAAATACCATTGTAATATCATCATCATTTATATCATTGGTATATATATATCTATATATATCTATATATAGATATATATAGATATATATACGTATAGTTGCCTAAACTTAACTTTTCAAGCTTGCTGCATATGTAAAACTAAAATTGACATTCTGAACAGCTCCATGCATTCTAATGAAATGTAAATGCTAAGATTTCATACAACTTGATTTTCCATTGTATTTGACACTAAACACAGTAAATCTCCACAGCCTGAGAGTGTCCCTTATGCTGGTGCACCTTCCCTGCTGCTTCTTTGTCAACCACTGTTTCCCCTTTGCCCTTGGATACAGCATTCTGTGACCAGCCAGCTTAGAAATTACCATTTAAAATGTTCCTTGTTTGTAAAGGGTGTAAATCTATGAGCTTCACAGATGTCAATGACACGAATGTTGATTATCTTGCTTCACTGGTTTGCTTTAATTTTCCTTGATCTTGGTAATTCACTCTTCTATAACACAGAAGGGTTATAGGGTTATAGGTATTCCTAAAATGTTAATATAAAATCTTCTACAAGCAGGGAGTTAATATTTTATTTATCTTTGAGGTAATCTGTTGATTTCACTAAGGTATTTTACTCAGAATGTTTGGTTTAATTTATTCATGATGATTGCATTCCAATGCTTTGACAAGATGCTGTATAAGTGAAAGTGACAGTTGAGGTCAAAGATGAACCAGATATATTTACCTAATTGACACTTTTCCAGCTTACATGTCGAATTTGACAATATTTCTTCGTAAACACAGACAACGTCTGTCGAAGCGGTGTGTTCTGAGGACAAAGTGAATGTTTAAAGGGTTAAAGATTGAGCTTTAGTGGCTCCGGTGGAGCTCCGCGGGCAGCTCTGGCTCGCGCTGATATTCCGGGCTCGCTGTGGATTCTGGGAGACGGTGGGGGACACTGCCCAGGCTTGTTACCGGGAGAACTGGAAGAGCATTTAAAAGAAAGAAAAAAAACCGCACCGTTGTTTTGTAAGTATCCTATCAGGTTAGTATTGCTTCGCGTTGTGTTTAGCGTTGTCCCATGTTGACTGCCGAGCACGGATCTGCGCAGTGGATTGAGCCGTTAAGGCTGCCATTTTCCCCCCCCCTTCCCGTCGCTCGCTGGCTGCCATGGAGGCCGAGAGCTGGAGCTGAAGGGAGGCGGAGCGGGGCAGCTGCTGCCGCTCTGCCCGGCTAATACATGCCGACATGTAGAGGGGAAAAATTGCCCTTTATCGTCTGACAGCTGTATTTCTGTTATGAGCCGCGTCGGTTACGCCGAGGGAGGAAATAAATGACTTGTAGGGGACATGGAGCTGGCTGTTGACATGCGGAAATCGATGTCAGCGGGCAGCAGAGAAATGCCCACTGTGGCGGTTAGAAACCCACCTACACCTGGCCGCAGGAAGAAATGCCGCAGATGATTTAAACCTAATTCTTGTTTTATTTTTTATTCATATATAGCTGTAATCTAATCTCTTGGCGTCATTTCGACTGTAACGTGGCGTATAGTGTTTCTATTAGAGCAGAAATACAGAGGGAAAAAAAGCATGGCCTATGGTGGCGGGTAATTGATTCCCAGTGACAGACAAGATAATTAGGGTCTACATCTGGTGTTAAAAACATTCATTCAGTATACCTTTAGATTACATTTCTTGGAATGAATAATGGTCTTGACTTTTAATATTGAAGTTATTTACTTATTAAACCAAAAATAATTAAATTCTGTCTACATTAACGACTACTCTGAGGTCTATAATACCCATCTGTCATGAATAAAACATCTCTGCACATGGGATTTTATAATGATTGACATATTTGTGCACAGTGAGTGTGACATTTAGGTTGCTTTTTTTTTTTTTAATAGCATTAAGGCAATATTAACAAAAAGCCTGTTGTGTATCTTGAGTAATTACCCAGCTAATACCTCTGGGACTCCCGGAGCACATTGTTCAGCTGTCACCATGGGTTTGTGAACAAATAAAGCTCTTGGTTTTCCTGATTCCCTCTGCATCATTTTTGATTTTTTGAGTTTGTTTTGTGAAAGAAGCTCCATACAACTTTTTCTTTTAATTTTTTACTTATGTGATATTGCAGTGTTCTCCGGATAAGTTAAAAGATTAATGCCACATGAAATAGGAAAATATACTGGAAATAGTGACTTTTTATGGTTTCTTTAATGAGAAACCATAAAAAGTCACTATTTCCAGTGATGGTGAGATGAAGCCTCATGAGGCATTGAACCGTTTGGGCTAATTGCTTCAAATATCCCGACAGTTCATGAAGCTTCAGGTGAAAATGTCACCACCTACTGGTGGAAAGCAGAACTACAGTTAGTAATATAATTGTGATTTTTTTGTTTGTTTGTTGTTGCATTTTTTTTTAGCTCAAGCAGATGGTGAAAGTGTTTGTGCAAATTGAGCAAGGTTAGCAAAATGAAAAGTGTAAGTCATTTTTATTCAAAAATAATAGTTTTTCCACACTTTTTGGGTTGGAAGTTATGTTTTCAACCAGTCTTTTGACTAAACCAACCAATCTAATTTGGCAGTGTTTTTACCCAATATATATTTGCACCAAAACAAACCAAATTAGTTATACAAGTTAGTCACATTAGTGACATTAGCCAAAATACTCATTAAGTATTATTCCAACTTTCAAAAGTCCAAGGAGGGTCTTCAGGCCATAACCTTAGGATTAAAAGTCAATGTCATACAGCTAACCCCACTGGCAATAATGACTTCAAATCTGAAAGCAATACTACTTACACTAATCTTACCACTGTAATGAGTGGCTTGCTCAGATTTCATTGATCATTGCATTGTTTAATCTAACCAAACTAGTTTTATCAACTAGATTGTTTTGTTTTTTCCAACCAATCTATTCTTAGAATATAAACAAACTCTATCCAACTTTCCTACAAACTCCCACATCTTGACTGAGTTGTGAGGATGCTTAAATGCCTGTCAAAGTTTGGGGCGCGCTGAACCGCTTCCCGGAGCGGTCACGTGGTATGGCGGTGTAGCGGGGCTTGGGAGGTCATTGATTTTGGCTCCTCCCCTAAATGAAGCAAGCCTAGATAGCGCCTCGTGGAAAAGCCCCTCCATTACTCTACACACGCCTCAAAGCATCGGCTCCTCTCATAACATCACTATCTAATACACATTAGATAATTATGTCAATAATAAATCAGTGGAGCAAATTCAACCTTTGTTAAGATGATATTTAATTATGTAAAACTATAACACTTATTGTTGTCATACATCCTAAATGCAACTTCCCATGCATCCTGAAGTTTAGTAGCCAAATTCCATTATTAGGCCCGAGCAGCGAAGGCTGCAAGAGCCTATTGTATCTGTACTGTTTCTTATTATTATTCTTTTAGCACTTTGAACGCATTTTACGGGGACTTCGCATATTCAAAAACTCAGGAAAACGTGGCAGTAAATTGTCCCCCGCGTGAAATAGCCGGTCTGGAATGGAATCCAAAATGGCTGCCCCCAAATTACGCCACAGCGCCCCCTAACGTGAGTTGGGGGAAACTGTAAGTCACAGAGATTTGAACTTTGGCACACCGGTAGATCTCCTCAAATCATGAAAAAAAGTCTCTTGGAGGTATGCCCTAAAACCCACAGGAAGTCGGCCATTTTGGCTCAAAGTGCGATTTTTGGCCATTTTTCATTTTCGCTCATGTCGAACTTTAACGAACTCCTCCTAGGGATTATGAGCTATCGGCTTCAAACTCGGTCATTATGCAGTTAAGGCATTGGAGATTAAAAGTTATCAAAGGTTTTCGTTTTTGAGCATGTTTAAGGGGTCCCCAGGGGCCCCGAAGTTAGGGTACTTTTGAAGAATTTCAAAGTGGAATAACTTTTAGAAAAAAGGTTCAAATCAAACCACGTTTGGCAGTAAGGAGCCCCTTTTGGTGCTTGACCATAGTGGATGGTCAAATGATGACATCATCTAAGCCCCGCCCCCTAAGGGAAGAAAGTCACTTTTTTCACTTGGGAGGGTCCCTTTGAGTCATTTTAAACACCAGCACCTTGAAAATTTGTCAGATGATAGAAAACATGTTGGTCTAACTTCGTTTAAAGCACAGAGATTTTGAGTTAAATGGTGTTGCCGTGGCGCCATGGCGAAGTGAGGCGTTTCGCCATGAAAATACGATTGGCTCTCATTTCCTCATTATTAATCAGATCTGCACCAAAATCACAAGAGATGATCCTAGTCCAACTCCAAACAGGAATCCAGAGCAATATTTTGTGGGCGGGGCTTAATTTCACTACAGCGCCCCCTAGAAATAACAAACTTCAAACCACCAGCCCCAAGCCGTTTTTAGTCCTAGAATATTGAAACGTTGAACACATTTGCATCTCATCAGGCCCTAACTAAAAGCCTCTTGAAGCCATGGTCTAAACCCCACCGGAAGTCGGCCATTTTGAATTACAATTTACTCTCTTGTGAAAGCACTGACCTTTTTTCAAAAATTTGTATAAAATCAGCCTTTTATCCAAATGAGCTAAAACGTTCAAAATACGTTCTTTACAAAGCCTGCTGTAAGCTGGTTACAATAGCAAAGCGCTTCTTTAAAGTCCGTCACTCTGATTTTTCAAAAGTTTGCGTTCTCGCCTAATAGTTGGTCAAGTGGACAGATAATGCCAGGAAATAATTCAGCCCCTAGCCATGCTCGTTCCTAGGATAATGAAACTTGGCACACATCTGTATGAGCCCCCCACCTACAAAAAGTTTCATTGGAGCCATGGTCTAAACCTCTCATGAAGTCGGCCATTTTGAATCAAACGGCACCCTTATGAAAATAGAATCACTATGTTAAAATATTTCTAAAAAATCTGTCGTTTTCCCAAAAGCGCTAGGACTTTTGGAATATATTCCTCTAATCGGTACTTTTTTGATGGTGTACACAGCATAGCTCTTCTTAAAAGTCCGTCACTCTGATTTTTCAACAGTTTGTGTTAACAGGAAATTGTTGTATCTCAAAAAGTTTTATAGCAATCCTAGCCAAATCTGGAACAATTATTTATCCTTTGATTATAGAAAAGACTGCCAATTTTGGCGTGAATCTATGCATGTTTGAGCATCTTATGAGGTTTTCAACTGTCGCAGTATATGGCATTCACGTTTAAAGATTTTTCTTTCTTTTAATTATTAAGTAAATCATCTAAAAAAAATCTAGGACATGCAAAATGTGTTCCTTAACATTTGTGATTTTTTTCTGGATTTTATTGCAAACTATGGATTTTTAATGATTTTCTTTTGTTTTGAGTAGAGTCGGCCATTTTGAATTACATTTTACCGTGTTGTAAAATCACGGACCTCTTTTCAAAAAATTGTATAAAATCAGCCTTTTATCCAAATGAGCTAAAACTTTCAAAATACGTTCTTTACAAAGCCTGCTGTAAGCTGGTTACAATAGCAAAGCGCTTTTTTAAAGTCTGTCAGTCTGATTTTTCAAACGTTTGTGTTAACAGAAAATTGTTGTATCTCAAAAAGTTTTATAGCAATCCTAGCCAAATGTGGAACAGTTATTTATCCTATGATTATACAAAAGACTGCCAAGATTGGCGTGAATCTATGCATGTTTGAGCATCTTATGGGGTTTTCAACTGCTGCAGTATATGGCATTCAAGTTTAAAGATTTTTCTTTCTTTAAATTATTTAGTAAATCATCTAAAAAAAATCTAGGACATGCAAGATGTGTTCCTTGACATTTGTGATTTTTTTCGGGATTTTATTGCAAACTATGGATTTTTAATTATTTTTTTTGTTTTGAGTAGGGTGTATTACCGCTAACCGTGGAGTTTGGCAGTGCTGTTTCTCCATCTTTTGAACATATACTTTTGACCCACCACCTGAGATGGCCGCAGCATCTATCTCACAGATGAGATTCATCCCAGATATTATATTTTATCCCTAGTTTAAGCCTTCCTGACCAAAGCTGTGGTTTTCTCCGGCTGGTCCAGAGGTGAAGCGTGGCGCCTTTTCCGCTGGCTGAGAAGGAGCAAGGGGGCGGCAAACTTCTAACTTGCTGAGCCTCGATTTAAGACATAAGGGGTCAAAAGCAATCAAAAGAGTTTTTGCTGTGACAAACCATGTGGGCGTGGCCAAGCATCAAAATCAGACTTTGCGCCATTAGAGTATGACTAAACTGCCTCAGGCCCTGCTTTTATTAAGGATTATTAAATTTGTATAGCCGAACACGATGCTCAAAAAAGTATATTGGAGCCATGGTCCACACCCAACAAGAAATGGGCCATTTTGGATCAAAGATACCATTTTCTTTTTTTAGGTCATGACATATCTGAGGGAAGGGCTCTTGGTTTTTTTTGAGTTTGAGACTTCAAATTAACTTTACATGGACTATAGTCATAGCAAATTAAAAGTTATCAAAATTATTATTCTACATGGGAGCATGTGGGCGTGGCTAAGCATCAAACTGTTAACTCCAGTCATACAAAGCCACATTTCTAGGAGGAGAAGGATGATGAGGATGACAAACAAACAGCAGTAGGAGATGCAGTGAGAGCAGCAGCAGGAAGAAGAATATGAAGAGAAGGAGCACAGGGGGAGGAGGATGATTAGGATGAGAAACAGCAGAAGGAGAATGGAGGAGGATTAAATGAAGCAGGATAAGGAGGATGAAGAGGATCAGGAGAAGCAGCAGCAGGCAGGAGATGAAGAGAAAGAGCATCAGCAGGATGAGGAGAAGGAGATGCAGCAAGAGCGACAGCAGGAGGAGGAGAAGGAGACACAGCAAGATAAGCAGAAGCAGGAGGATGATGAGGAGAAGCTGCATTAGCAGGAGGATGAGGAAGATGAGAAGCTGCAGGAGGAGGAGGATAAGAAACAGTGGCAGCAGCAGAACGAGAAGGAGGGGGAGGATGAAGAGAAGCAGCAGCAGGCATAGGCTGAAGAGCAGGAGCATAGGCTGGGAAGGAGCGTGGAGGTGGAGGTCGCTTGGTTCCCGCGGTCGCAACATACCAGGCGGTGCGAGCTGCGAGGGCCGCTCAATGCCACTTGTGGCTTTAATTCATTTTGGTTCAGTAAGTTTTAGAGGATTATGAATAACAAATTATATACTTACTACCTTTGACATATTTAAAACCAATTTCAACCATAAAGCATGTATGATTTGAAAACAAACAAACAAAAGAACAAAAAAAAAAAAAAACCTGACTTACAGGTAAGCTTTACTTATTCTTTTTTCTCTCCTTTTGCATATCTTAAGAGGGAAAGAGTTTCGCCATATTTTGACATTTGTTCCTTTAGAGCAGTGCCTTCCTAACTGTTTTTGCTTGCCTCTTATAGGTTCACAATTTTCCAAACCCTCCAATAACCTTTTCAACAGCTGAACAAAGTCGGCTAAGGCAAATCTTATATTGCAATAAAATAACTAAAAACTTCAAATCCCAAAACTACCACCTTTAAATGAATTTTAGGTCAGCTGTATTATTTCTCTGTGTAAAAAAATTCAACACTCCTATCAATACATTTTGTAATACCTTCCAAATGTGTATAATTAATTCAGTTCATTTGTATCCCATCAGTTCCACTGTGCACCCCCCCCCCTCCTACTTTGAGAACCATTGCTTTAAAAGATCTGTAATATACTGTAATATGAGGACCAAAGACACCATCATGTGTGGCAGTCACTTTTAAATAGCTCTGCAGATTTAGTTGCAAAAACAAAATGATTACAGAGTTGCCATTTAAAACCATCTTAGCAACAATTAGATCTGCAGAGAGGATCATGGTCACTGCTTAGCAAAAGGGCAACTTGTATCTCTTTTCAGATTACACGCATTCCTGAACACAAACTGTTTAGAGCTCTGCGTTCAGGTTTCCACTATAAAAAGGAGGGGTTTTCTCCTATAAACACCTGGGTGTGGTGCAATCACCAGTAAAGGGAAAAGAAAAAGGTTACATTTAGTAGTAGTAGTAGTGTGTAACTGGCCAATAACCAGTCAGATGAAACAGGCGTAAATTCCGCTAAACCTCATCGCTAACCAATTTCTATCTGCATTTCTTAAAATTTTTTAAACCTTGATGGTTACATTTATTTTTCTTACTGTGTGGATCCAGAAACTGGTAGCATTTGGAGCACCATGTCGAGCCGAGGAGGAAAGAAGAAGACAACCAAGACGTCCCGGTCCACCAAGGCTGGGGTCATTTTCCCTGTGGGGCGCATGCTGCGCTACATCAAAAGGGGGCTGCCTAAATATCGCATCGGAGTGGGAGCGCCCGTCTACCTGGCCGCTGTCCTGGAGTACCTGACCGGTGAGGTCTCTTTTTTTTTTTTTTTTTAACACAGAAATAAGGTCATTGCTTTAGCTCCAAAATGTGTTATTCTGCTTTTTTCATTCCATCATGATTGTATGCAATATTGGAATTGCATAGAAATGCTTGGCTGCAGTATTTGGTGGTATGTTTTGTGCCATTGCACAGATTCATCCTAGGAGTATGGAAACATATTTTCCCGTATTACACAGAGTATATACTTTAATAATTCCTCTAAGATAATAGACTAATTGAATTCTAAAACTCATTTATTTATATTTGAAACAAGATTGTATAAACGTACAAAAATCACATACTGCAAAACCTGTTTTGTGTTTTCTTTCCACTTGTTTTAGTTGTTTAAGGAAACAAAACAAAAACTCCATAGATATCGAAATAATAAACTCACTTTTGCTGTCTGAGCTTAGAGCGTTTAAATAACAGCTTTTTTTTCCTGATATAATGATAGGGAATAGTTTAAAAAGTGGCAGACCTTTTCCCAAAGTTTGTTTCTTGAAAGTATTTCAGAAACAACTGTCTGTGACAGCTGTTAAAGAAGCATTTATATTGTCCTAAGCAAAGGTTTTGGGGTGTAAAATCTCTTTAGGGAAATCTTGTATATTTTAGCTGGACAGTGCAAAATTCTGCTTGCCACATAACATCAAAGTTGTGTTGCAACCTTCCTGGCGCTTTAAACTGCAGCAGATCAGTAATAACAGAAAAATGCAGCAACTTATCTCTCCATTCCCTCAAGAAAGTCCTTTCACACATTTTACTGATAACCTTGCTTATTTAAAGATTTTACCTGACAAACTGAGTTTGGCATTTGATCAACATGATCGTCTGTTTCCCAATACTTAGCTGAGATCTTGGAGCTGGCAGGTAATGCAGCAAGAGACAACAAAAAGGGCCGTGTAACACCTCGGCACATCCTGCTGGCCATCGCCAACGATGAGGAGCTAAACCAGGTGATCTGTTGTCAACAATTCAGCTGCTATCCAAAGCACAGAAATGGTTTATATGCTGCTTTCAGGACATCTCAGATGTTACACTTTGTCTCTCTGTAACAGCTGCTCAAAGGTGTGACCATCGCAGCAGGTGGCGTCTTACCCAACATCCACCCGGAGCTTCTGGCCAAGAAGAGGGGCGCCAAAGGCAAACTGGAAACGCCTGTGTCGCCAGCTCCTGAGAAGAAACCCAAAACAGTGAAGAAAACTGCAGCTAAGAAACTTGGTGGGAAAAAGGCTGGAGGGAAGACTAAAGTATGAGCCTAAGTCTGATGCTTGATTATTTTATCACTGAGCGTGTTAAGAATAGGGCAGTATGTCATTACGAATCACACAGAGGTCGAGTTGTTTGGCTTTTTAGAGGCACACCATGCTTTTGTGTTTTAGTCTTCTTAAAGTGGAATATGTGCTAAAAACTTTTTAAAATGTAGGCATCCAGAGGGCTTCCTGATCAGATGTCCCAACAGCCTATCGAACTATTTTCAAGGCATTAAAATTGCGGCTCTATATGGATCGCTAAGGCTACATTCACTTTGTGTGTAAATCAACCCTTATGTGACTCATATCTAACCTTTCATGGCAATCAGAGTGGCTCTAATTCCAACCTTTAAACCCCTTAAAAAAACTGAATTGTGGCATTTTCATATGCAGTGCTGCATGTGATTAATTTTAAACAGATTTCAAAGAGTCTGTCATCCGAACAGTTCTGTTGCATTTCCTCCAACTTTTACATTATCGTCCTAAATCTGACAACTTGCATAAAGAATCCTTTCCAGTGCAGGACTGCTCCACAAGTCAGGCCTTCTTTTTTCTTACTTTTCTTCATCTTCTTATGGTGTGATCACAATATTTTTGGCTCCTATTGTTCAACAACTGATAGCAGAGGCACAGACATCTGTTATATCTTGAGCAAACAGTGCACTGCTGCAGGAGTTCAAGGTGTTCAATGAGAGTTTAAATATATTTCAAAACTAGAGAGCCCTGTCCTCCATCAAGTAGCTCATTCCCCTCCGACATATTGTGCCTTCCACCTTTACCTGTAATACCTGTATTCACAGAATCTTCAAAAAATTCCTGGATCCAGATGGGGATCTGGATAATCACCAAAATGTAATAAAATGTTGCCAGTCACAATATTTCAGTTCAATTTAGTTTATTCCTATAGCGCCAATTCACAACACATGTCATCTCAAGGCACGTTACAGTTCACCAGATCATACAGTCAAATTGATTCAAAGTTTTCTCTCTAAGGAAAACCAGTTGATTGCATCGACTCATTGACTTGAATGCAATCCCTCATGCCTCTCTGCAAAATCCATCCATAACTTTTCAGTTATTTTGAAAACAGACAAACCAACACTGATCAAAGAATAATCTCCTTTGTTGGGGGGGAATAAAGTATTTTGTTAAGGTTGCTTTGTTTTAGATAAAGACGTTAACGCCATATCATTTTTATTTGAATGTAACTCAGTTTTTGTGCTCTTCTTAAACAGATAGTAATTCGTTCTGTGCGTTAATGACAGTGCTACACAGTTTGAGAATAGGTCAGATAATGAAAAGTAAAAAAAAAAAAAAATCAACAGTCTTTCTTGAATGTAAAGAAAGGTGAGTTTAAGACACTGTCACAGATCTGGGCCAGCTGTCAATCAAAATAAAAGCAACATCCAGCCATATGACCAACCTGCGCACCATGCTCTTAGAAACCAACAGGTAAAGGGTATTTATATACACAGTATAATGAAAACTACATTTAAGGAAAAGAAAATGCTGATCCAACAAAGGCAGTGGAATGAGTCCTGGAAGGTGATTTTTTTTTTTTAAGAATATTTTTTTAAGACACTATTGGTTAGTTATTTGTTTTTCTAAAGTAGGTAGACAGGAAATATGATTGGAGAAAGGGGGAAGACATGCAGCAAAGGTCACCAGGCCAGGACCCCAACCTGCGTCGCCCATTAAAGACCAAGTTCAAGGGTCAGAGTATCCCCGCTTGCTATATACAGGCTGTGTGTTTCAAACAGGGTGAATCTGGCTGTTTCATATCGTCTTTTTCCCCCCAAAGCAGATGGTTTTAACCTTTCCACCGTGTCTCTCTTCCTGTCAGACTCATGACCCCAAATTGCTGTGTAGATCAGACCCAAATAGGTCAAGGGTCCATCTTGGTTTCACCTAAGACCAGCCCCATTAGCTTTAAGTGCCAGAAACTCTTACGATAGTATATTTTCGTCAGATTTGGCGTTAAATCGTAACCAATATTTTCAGGCCATAAGGAAGCTAAGAAGTAATGATGTGACGGACCTCTTACTCTAAAGTATATCCTGCTAGAAAAAGCGCCATTCTCACTACAGACAGTACTATGGTGTGACGTCCTGATGTTTGCTGTGTCTTTAACAGAGAGGGGAGGTGAGCAAGTCGGCATCAGCAGACAGCACTACGGAGGGATCTCTGGCAGACAGCTTCACTGTGCTCTCCACAAAGAGCCTCTTCCTGGGTCAGAAGGTCGGTTTACTGGGCGCTCAGAATTCTGGCTTAAAAGTCCAAGATGATTATACCGAACAACAATTCACCACTGAGTAAAGTGCAGTGAGTGCGGAGCTTAGCTGTGAGGATTGGTAAAATGTTTAAACTGCTTTTTCTTTTTAATAATTAAACATGAAGCTATAAAACCAATGAAAGACTCAAAATTAGAGCTAAAAAGCTTATTATATTTTACATGGAGTAATCTAAGAATGATATAAGATGTATTAATGGGAAACGCCTCTTTTAAAGATAGTTGAGAATTGTTTGAGTGGCAGGTAAGAATCACATTATTGATCTGCCTGTGCTGTGGATCTTGTAAATCGTTCCACAGATTAAACTGAATTTGCTGTAAAACAAACTATTAGCAAAGGTAATTGGCAAATAAAATGATTTTGTGTAACTTTAGAAATTAGTTTGAAAAAAAATCAGTTATTTACACAGTTTGAGTAAAAGAAAAAAGCATTTGCTTGCACTGCTTGTTGTTTTAGCTCCTTTTTTTAGTTTAGGTTCAGTTTAGGTTAAAGGAAACTAGTTTCCTTTATAGACCTGATTCTTGTAACTCTACCATTCTTTCCTGTTTACTTCTGTCTTTCTTCACCACTTTTCTTGCAGATGATTTGTCTTCTTATAATCATATTTTGCATTGTGATGTTTTTGGATGGGAGAAATAAACTTTTTTTAATTTCTGGTAACAAACCTTGAATTAATCTGGGCTAATGAGGTGTTTTGTTTGACATCTTCGAGGAATACCTTGATATTTTGGACTCCTTTATGAAAAACCAACATGATATTCTTTAGCATCATGTTTTTTCGTTGCTGCCATGTTCAAATACAAAATATTTTTGAATATATTAAATCCTATGTATTATTGTTAAATCACTATACACAAACTGCAAACCATGTTTGGGGAGTTTGGCATCATGCTTTGTCAGTAAAATATTTGACTAGTTTGAGATCGGGTTTCCTCCCCTTAATCCCTACAGATGATACAGCATTTAGATGCTAAAGCTAATCAGTTACATTAATGTGTGATGGTGGAAAAAAGGAGAAGATTGGGGTGAGTGCTGATTAATTATAATGTAGAGGCTTGATGAGATTCTCTATGTAATCCAGACTCAGAGGGTCACTCTAATATTCTTAGCTTCGAAACACACCAACAGTTTTAGCATCTGTTTTGTTTTTATGGCTCTGCTTAGTTAAACATAAGCTGATAAAGGTAATAGCCAAGAGCAAAGGTAAACTAATGTCAAACAAAAGTTAGTATTCCCCTTATATATTTAACACTTTATTAAATACCATTTGTTGGAAAACATTAGAGGATGTAACTCTTTAGTGGCGTTTAAAGTGGTCAGTATGTAGCCTATATACCTGTTAATTACTCGGATCTCTTCAAAGTAGCTTAGCATATTGCCATCAACATCAAAACTGTTGGGGGGGGGGGCGGGTGCACCCTTATGTGAAAATGTCCAAGTTGTGACCAAATTGTTTGAGGTGAGATTTCTCATGCATCGTCTTTAAGAGAGGCTTCCTTTTGGGATTGAGAGCCAGGTAGACCGATTTTATAGGATGTGTTTAAAAATTAACTTAACTCAGTGACTGACAAAATGATGACCCTAGCTTGACACATTTTATCTTATTATAAGGTTTTTATGAAGCCTTCAAATCCTGAGCTGCATCAGAAGCAGAATGTCATTCAGCAGCAAATTTAAAACAAGGTTTTACTATTTAACAAAAAATTTTTCAAATAGGTTTAGCATGCACTGTTAGCTTTTAGTCCAATTAGTATGACTAGCTTTGCGCTCCTAAACAAACTGTCCAGTTTCAAAAAGGCTTCAAATATTTCAAAAAACCAGCTTGTACCATGACCTGAGTTGGTAATGGGAATGAATGTCTTTGATAAACGAGTTAATCTAAAGTTGATTAGGTTTATGAGTAGCATTAGAAAAAAACCCTCATATTTAGGGGGGCCTTTCTATTATATGAAGGATAACATAGTTTTCAATATGAAAAAAAAAAAATTGCATCATAATACTTAAGTACTAAATCTTATGCTTTATAAAATATTATTAACACATTATACTGACATGCAATTATAAAATACAACAGAAAAGGAAGGTTTTTGTTATATTGGAATTTATTAAAATCCATAAAATGCTTCTAATCCCCCATGAATAAAGATGCAAAACTATCACTTAAAGACTATATGTTGCTCTGACAAACTGTCAGACTTTTCCTGCCACTAACTGTGATCTAGCTTTCTGTTTTCAGTCTAATCCATCAGTGATATAAGCAAAATTTTTTATTGTTATGGGGTAAACCCAGAGGAATCAAAACCATTGCCTCTCCATTCATTTCCTAAGGAACGTTTGCGATGAGGTTATAATCAGTTGCCATCATACAACTATATAACCAGTGAAATTCATGTGTGAAATTCTGGGCTCTCACGCACAGATGTACACACACGCATGTTTTGAATTTTTCACCGATGAGTATATGCATCTCCGCCGTGCAGCACGACCAGCTTTCTCTCTTTATTTCATAACTTAAGCAGCTTGTTGAGTTCTTCATGTTTACAGACAGAACTGCCTTAAGTGCATTCTGCATCCTTGTTAATATTAAAGAATGTAAAATAATTTCCCTACTGAACTTTATCTGGATCAGTTGGTATTTCTGTTCAAGCATGCCGCCGACATCTTCATTTCTCTTGCATTTATTGATGTGATCCCTCTTAAGGGTGAACTGCAACACCCTCTTCTCGATGTCAGAAACACTTAAAACAAAACACATAGAGAGTTCGTTAACCAACACAACATACAACTAATGTAATAACTAACATTATTAGTTAATAGGATGTAAAAATATTTTAATCTCATTAATTAATAGACAGCTGTAAGTAGATTGGTTTGCATCTCTACTTAGCAGATGAAACGGTTGAAGCAGGTTGTTATTAAACTCAGCCGACATGTTGTCAGCTTTAAATGTTGTTCCCTCTTAGTCTAAATGATCTGCAGGCATCGCCAGCATGTTGTGCTTCCTCTCAGATCATTTGAAAAATCTTAACATTACAGTCAATTAACCTTGAGTCTCCTTCACCCAGTAACAGCTTCCACACCGAAGGTTGGTCAAAATGATGGGGTGCGTTCCTTTATCAGAAAATGTCAGATACTGTATTTCAGTACAGTATTATTTTTTTGCAACCAAGGGTTGTAGATCAGTTGGAGATGATTCCAAAGTTCAAGGTATTCCTCTAAGCTGAGAAGTGAATCTGGTTTTAATGCCTCTGCTTCTTCACTTTTTCCCTTTTTGCTCCCTCCACCTTTGCATGCTTCCTCCTGCCCCCCGTTCCCCCCCATCACAGCTCAACCTTATCCACAGCGAGGTCAGTAACTTGGCTGGCTTTGACGTGGACGGGGTCATCAACCCCACCAATGCTGAACTTGATCTTAAAGATGATCTAGGTGAGCCCCCCCCCCCATACCTCTTCCCTGACCTTCCCCAGTCCCAGTGGGCTTTCAGATCCGGAATCCTTGAATGCCCAACAGCTGCGCATTATTTTCTAAATTACAGGTTTTTGGCATCCTACTCTGGATCCTATTGTTTACATTGCGAGCAGCAGCAGATCGATCTAGTTCTCTCATTCTTAACGGCAAAATATCTTTGGCTTCCGTTCAAAGAAAATCTTTAGTAGTTAGATTTTATTGTTGGAAAACAAATAAAGAAAAATCAAGAGAAATCCTTGACTTGAAAATCAGGAATTCCAAGTCATCCATCCAGAGATTAATTTGTTTATTCTTCCAACCATTTATCTGGTTAGCCCATTTATCAGTATATTGTAATTTGCCATCCATCCATCCATCCATCCATCCATCCATCCATCCATCCATCCATCCATCCATCCATCCATCCATCCATCCATCCATCCATCCATCCATCCATCCATCCATCCATCCATCCATCCATCCATCCATCCATCCATCCATCCATCCATCCATCCATCCCTCCCTCCCTCCCTCCCGTTAAACCACCTTTTTTGTTTTTGTTCATTGTATTCTCCAGGTAATACACCTTTGGAGCAAGAAAAGGATGGTCTCATATTTTCCTTGACACATATGTGTGTGTGTGTGTGTGTGTGTGTGTGTGTGTGTGTGTGTGTGTGTATATATATATATATATATATATATATATATATACACACGTTTGTTTATATCGAGAGGTATATTGTGCATTTATGCCATAGTTTGAAAAAGAGAACAAAAGCTGCTCGCAGTAGTAACATGCTGAGGTTCCTCTATCAGTAAATATCCTCAAATTACTAACCTGGGTTCCCTATGGATGATGGGCTACAGAAATGTATCGATTAGTAGAAACCAAACGTTGCATTGGTGGCATTCAATGATTTTTATAAAGGCTGCAGAGAACAGTTTGTCTGCTTTTCTTCCCACTATGTTTATGTGCTGTGGTCCATTTCAGGTGCCAGTCCTTTCAAACTGCTGCACGTTATTTTATAAATTAACTTTTTTTTTTTCCTTATTTTTTTGCTGAAGATTTTTTTCTTTAAACTTTTCCCTTATCTCATCAACATTTTCAAAGAACAAGCCCAGAAATTGTTTTTTAATTGGTTGCAAAGTGCAGCATGGTTGAGAGATCTCCCACCTGAGATTAAATCCAGGATTCAGGACCACACAGCTGGACAGAAACAATACCAAAAAAAAAAAATAGATTAACTGAAAACTCCAGAATTGTATAATTTTGAATCCATCCTCCTGTGATGTTTTCCAAGGTCAATTTAGTAAATCCAGCCAACTGTGTGCTCCTGCATCCTATTTTCACTATCTAACTTGTCTCTCCACTTCCTCAGCTGCCTCCTTGTGTCCTGTGATTTCCTCAGCCAATAAGGAGTGCGCTCACTTGTGTCCTTCTGTTCTTCTCTCTCATCACTCTCCGCATCTTATTGCCCACAGTCACTCACAGTGTTTTTACCTCCATGTTGTTGCCTGTTGTCTGTCACGGTTGTTGTCTGTAGTTGCAAGTTGTCCGAGCCGACATTTCCGCGGTGGAGAGCGACGCTGTCGTTCACCCGACCAACTCCTCCTTCTATACAGGTGGTGAAGTAGGTAAAGGAAGCACTGACTCTGCAGAGACCACGGCTGTCTGTCTGCTCTCCCTCTGCATATCCAGTCAGTCAGTGCTGCAGTCTGTGGACAAACGGCAGCAGCAGTTGTTACCTTTCATTATTGTTGGCCTTTTTTTGTTTTAATCTATGCTTCCATTGTTAACCTAAACCAGATGTTTACCTTTTTTTTTTTTTTTTTTTATAAAAACATTTTTTTGCAGTCCAATTATCGGAGCAAAAGTCAATGTTCTAAATTTTAAGATGATCTCAGTACAAAGAGACCGTTTATAAAGACAAAAGCTATATTTGTTTCTCTTTATTTACAGAGATTAGTCAGCAAAGCACTTGGGTCACTCTGAAATGTGCTCTCCTTTTACAACTAAAATCAAAGAAAAAAGCTGTATAAAGTAGGGCTGGGCATTTAATTGCATTTGCAATATAATAGCAATTTAGAAAAATGCTATTTTCAGATCACAGAAGGACTCAGTTTTGGTCACATATTTAACAGGAGTAAGACATTAAAATTTTCAATCCAGCGCTTTAAAGTGGCGGTATGACACTTAAAGTGGGCTTGCCACCACACAGAATAGAAGAGAGTTGCTGCTAGCATGCAGATCCATGCAATATAGCAGAAGTATGAACTTTTTCATCCAAAGATTACAGTAAAGTCCTGCAACAATGGAAGCTATTCAGGTTGTGAAAAAAACTGAAACTCTGGAGCGGAAAATCTACATGCTTGATCTTAGAAAGGAAATTCGCATTAAAATTGCAATATTGGTAGAAAATAATTGTAACTTTGATTTTTGGCAAAATTGTTCAGTCCTATTATAAAGAAAATCAAAAATAAAGTTGAGATGTTTAGATAAAATTGGAAATGTTCTAATCTGTTATTGGAAACCATTGTAAGACCAGCCAAAACTCTAATATCAGAATATATCGACCTGCTTCTGAAATCTGATAGAAAACACTGCTTAACTCATTGGTTGATATTGAATGGGTCGGTTGTTCTCATAACCTATGTTGGTGATTATTGCTCCCTCTTTTTGACAAATATCTCTCGATCCAGTCTTTTCTACCATTCCAGACTATAAAAGAAGTTATAAAAGAATAAATGATTGATGCTGATATTGTATTGGGTCAACATCGGTCAGGAAAGAAAATGAAAACGTCCAACTATTTTTCCGTCAAAACAACCCTAATATTCCTTTGGATTATTAACTTTTTAACTGTTCAGGAATTTAGGTTTTACACTTGAATACTTACCTGTAGTTAATATTAGGGGTGGAACGGTTCACAAAATCCACGGTTCGGTTCGATTCACGGTTTTCGGTTCGGTTCGATTTCGGTATATGTTGATTGTTACACCGAAATCCCATAAAAATTTATGGAATTAATGAAAAAATCCTCCAAAAAATAATGGATTGCAATTATTTTAAATGATCCGCGGAAACCCTGGATCATTTCCGTATGTTTTGCTGCTTTGAATTTAATCATCTCGCGCATGCTCTCTACCATCTCCAAGGGACTCAGAGGGGAGCGGACGGGAGCCACAGTGGGGGCTGTAGGCTTTGCTTTGAGCAGCCGGTCTGAGCGCAGCGGGGGTTGCTGACGGAGTATGAGGGATTTCGGGGTTAGCATGACATGTTGCTGTTAGCATAAACAAAACGTGTTGCACAATGCTTGCACACTGTTGCACTTTTATCCACAACTTTCTTTCCGCCGTCATCATAGGTCACTCTAAATGCAAAGCGCTCCCATACAGCAGACCTATAAAGTGCTGCTGGCGCGTCTTCTAACTCCTGTTCTTTCCCAGTCGCCATTCCGACAAAATTCTCCACAACAACTGATTTTTTTCCCTGCTACACCCGGCTAAGCTGCTTCGCTTCTTTTTCTTCTTGTTTACCACTGGTAGTTGGCTTTGGTCGCAGTACCGCCACCTTCTGCTCTGGAGTGTAAGCGCTTCGCCTATGAGAAAAAGGAGCAGCGCATGAACCGAACGAAACACACGCGAACCGAACCGAGACAGTCGAACCGAACGTTTCGGACGGTTTTCATAAATCGTCCCATCCCTAGTTAATATGCGTCTTTATATATGTGGAAACAATCCTAACATTGCCTTCCTGTTGGATAAAAAGGTTTAATCAACTAAATCTTAAGCATGCATATAACCTTTAATGCAGAACAGTACTACATCTACGGCTGCACGATTTGGCCTAAACTTAAGCTACAATGTATTTCTATATTCTGGTTGATGGGAGTTATTCAAATATTGACATATATACAATATGAGATCCTCAGAAAAAACTGCAGAGAAAACCCATCTCAGATTCCTGTAAAAACTTCTAGAAATGTTATAAAGAAATTCTAAACACATAGAACTATGTTCAGAGCTACAAGCTGAACAGCTGAACAGATGAAACGCACATTTAATCATTTATCTCTCCCTTTTCTTAGTTCTTATCTCCGTTCTTTTGTATTTAGCAGTTTTTTTCTCACTGAACATTTGGCAAATCCAAGAACACAAATAAATGTATGCCTAAAAACTATTTTCACAAAGCACTAATAAAATAGCAAAATTCAACATATTATTTTGGATGAACCTTTTTGATACTATAGGCAGTCCTGCTTTCCTGTTAGGATTTCTCTCTTTCTCTCGCACTCATGCCACTCCTGCCTCTGTGCTATATTCCTGCCGTTTGTTGTTTTATTTCCTTATAAAAGTTTTTTTTTTTTTTAACCTTTGATCTTTAGTTAAACAAAACTGTTTTACTAAAGATCTGTTCGGGTTGATTCGGCTGAACCCTGAATGTCAGTCTGAAACAAATGCTGTAATCCTACTGTAATGGGTGTCAGCATTTTAAAAATGTGATTTAAAGTCACACAATTATTATTAAATACAATTATATTGAAATATATATTGATACTATAGGATTGCCCAGCCCTAATCAATGGAAGTATATTGAATAATATGAACATTTATTTAGGATTTATTTCTTACACTTTTACCTTTAGCTCTGTTTCCAGTCACTCTTCAGGAAAGCTATAGTTACAGGATTATAAGATCCTGACTGCTAGAGGAAATTTCTTAGTGTTGCGTCTGATATTTATACTGATCCTATCCTGGATGACTCAGGATTTCTGCTTTGCTAAGAAGACCTTTGCCCAAACTGCAGGGCTCAATCTTTTTAAAACAGGAGTTCCTTATAATAACTAGCCAGAGGTAGATCTTTGCATCAGATAACACATTTAAAGGTTATATTTTGCTGGTGTGACCATGCTAATTATACTGCTGCTGCTCGTTTAGCTCTGCATGACTGAAACATTGACTCTCTGAGAGCTGTCTCTCATGTGACCTTTGAACTCTCTAACCAACCTGTCAGTTCAGATGGTTTGTAAGCAGATGCACAGAGTGTCACAAAGTTTTATTATTTCTGTGGTCACAAAGGCACAAAGATTCAACTGATAAGGTTTAATGACTGTACTTCATATGCTGGTTTTAATTTTAGGGAATTTTCTTTTTCTCAATTAAGAATGAAAGTTTTTAAATAATGCAAAAATATTCACACCATTAAACTTTTTCATATCCTAAACACAAATCATATTCAATCAATGGGACTTTTTCTGATATATGTCAACAGTGGTGCACTAATGCAAAGTGGGAGCAAAGCAAGGCATGGTTTAAGTATTTGATCAAGATCTGAAAAGTGTGGCTTCAGTCCTCCTCCATTGGTCGTTTGACCGTTTGTTTAAGTTAAATCTCCGACTGTTTCTGGTTTGTCTCCCATCATCTTCTGGACATCAAGAAACCAAAATATTTGTCCGTTCCTCTTTGCTAAATAGCTTGAGCTCAGTCAGACTGGACTGAGACTGGAGAATGTTTCTAACCACAGATTCAGATTGGACTAAGGTTCGGGCTTTCACCGGACCGTTACACCTCTGGCTTTATGCATTTTCCTGCTCAAAGGTGTTGTTTTTTTTCACCACCATTGTCCTACTTTATCTCATTCATCTCTCCTTAAGCTTTGACCAGCTTGCCTATCTCTGCACTGTACAGATGGTGTGTTTGGGTTGATGAGTAAAAACGGCTTGATCTCGTCTAACCAGAGTAGCTCCTTCCCTCTTGGCTTATGGCAAAATGTTAACTGGACTTAGTTTGGCTTTTTTGTTGCTGTCCTTAATAAGACCAGATTATTAGAAATGAGGAATTAAGTGGTTTCCAGTTAACAGGTTCACTTTGCTGAGCTCTGCATCCCTGCAGCTCATCTGGAGTTACTTTGAGTCCACCTAGGCTTGTTCAGTCATAGGTGGACGGTCGTCTCTTGGTAGGTCAACAGTTGTGACACATTCTTTTCATTCTCAGATGACTGCTTGAAAAGAGCTCTGTGAAATGTTAAGCTTTGGACGTTGTTTTAAAACATAATCCTAATCCCAAAAGACAGGTAACCTTTCTTCATCCGTTTGCTGCATTTCTTGATCTTTATGGTGCAGTTTGTTCACTAATGTTCTCTAACAGCCCTCTTAGGTCTTTACAGAAATTAGATCTGATCAAGTTAACTGTTATGAAGTAGATGACTCCTTAAGGCAAGTGTATCGTAATAGAGGGGACTAAAAATAAGGCAAATCACTCTTTTCAGATCACGTTTTTGGGGACTTTTGTGGTGCTCTCTCACATAAAATCCCCCAAAATCAGTCATCTTTTGCTTTGAGATGCCTCCAATCTTTTTGGTTTCTGTATACGGCTCCTCTCTTAAGCTCTGAGTAAAAATCTAAGGCGACTGAGTCTCTGGGAATAGCATTTATTGATTTGAATGGATAAAAACATTTCTTCCCCCCCAATTGACTTAAATTTTCTAGGATTTTTAACTAGAATCTTTGCTCCTTATTTGTGCCACCTGTTCTAATCCTGAAATGAAGCACTCAGAGATTCTGAGAGGCACTTCTAGAGGATTGACACGCCTGTGTTTCTGCCAGTCTGTCCATCCACCCTCACGTCTTCCTGCTTGCCTGTCTGTCTGCATGACCTCCAGCCCTCCGTCGCACTTTCTGTTGTCTGTCTGCAGCTCAGCAGTATCTGTTCACTGCTGTCCTCTTCTGTATCCGCTTGCAGGCTCTGCCCTCGAGAAGAAAGGAGGGAAGGAGTTCACGGAGGCACTCCAGGAGCTGAAGAAGAAAAATGGCCCCCTGGAGGTGGCTGGTGGTAAGTGCACAGACATAAACGACAAAGGGGGATTTTATTGTTCTGAAAAGCAGAGTTGTTTTATTGTCCACATGCTTAGTTGTTTTTAAATAAAGTTGTTACGTTCCAGGTGGGAATAAGGTGTTAGGTTAAAAGAAGGTGGATTTTAACACAGATTTAACTTGGCTGAATTTGGGACTCTGCTGGGTGAAATGTTTACAGTGCTGCCATAGAAACCTTTGCAGTGTTGATAGATTACTTCTGTCCTTTTGTGCCAGTCTTTCATATTTTCCGCTTGTTACTGCAGCATTATGCAGAGTCTTTCAAACAGTTTTCACCAGTTCAGCCCAGAATCCCTGCCCTGTCGTTTTTTAGATTTAGACAATAAACTTAGCTGAGCCTTTTCAGGGGGACAACTAAATAATAATTTTCAATTATTACTTAATTTTGTCTGGATACTCTGAATTTTTGTCCTAAAATTTATCAATTAGTTTTATATTTACTTTATTGCCTCCTTGATTTCTTTATTATTACAAAAAAAAAGAATATTTTAATTGAAATAAACTTCTCTGTTTAAGTATTTACAAGGCGCATAAAGCACCGGAGCCTGTTTGGCAGCCGTGGTGTGTGCCGACCATTCCGAGGCTGATCCTATAAAGCTTTGGTTTTGCAGTTTAAGCTCAGCTTGGTTAGATGGGAAGTGTCATTGTGAGGCCAGATTTATGGTTCTTCAGGGATGCTCACTGTAGAGCCAAACACTAGCTCAGTACTCAGGACTTTGACTAGTTGTTTTACATCCAAGCTACATTTGTGTCGTCCTTCCTGTTCTTACCTCGCCAAAATAAGACAGCCAGAGTACTCTGAAAATATAATGGTTTTTATGAAACCTCATTTTCCTGATGGCTGTAACAGTCTTTGTTCTCCCTGTCCTGAAGCGACATATTGACTAAAAGTTCAAGTCTACCATGTGATTGTAGGACTATGCTTGCTGTTAAAGGTTTTATTGGATCCCTAAATGAGGAATGGCTTTTTTGACCTTTATAAATAACTGATTGATGGATTACTCTCTTTATCCCTTCATTGTTATACTTTTAGGTTATGATGTTTAGGTTTTAATCCTACAAAAACCTAATTAGAGTCCAAAAATAAACAGGTTGTAAAAGTCATTTGCAGATGTCTTACTATTACTACTATACAACAATGTCTTACTACTATAGAACAATTTAACAAACATTCAGAAAGTTTATAGTGGAGATCCATGCCAAATGTTTTAACTAGGCCATTCTAAAGTATAAGATATGAAAAGAACTGAAAGTATTTTAGATTGACATTTAAGACAGTCAGTTTTGAAATAAAGCTTCACAATATATTGTAAATATATTATCACCTTCTTCCTAATTAGTTTTTTCCATCTTATTTCTAAGTGAAGCTATATATACTTGTGTGAACTCAACTTTTTTCTTAGCAGTTTGTGAACAGTAATGTTTTCTTCATGTAGACTAGGCCTCAGATTATCTGTGCTGAAATTACTTTACAAAGATTTGGGCTCTATTCCTGTATCAGAACGACATCTCGCCATTAATACATCAAACTGGATCTGGAAAAGAAATAATAATAATAATAAAAAAAGATATATATATATATATATATTTTTTTTTTCTTCTTATTTATTTAGTTTCTTATTGGTTTTAGTCTTGTCAGTTTTTACCTTTTAATAACTGAAATTGAATTTTTGATCCTACAATTTTAAGATTTAGATTATCAAAGCTTTTTTCTAGTAAATATTTGAAAAAAAAATGTTGAAATTCTGATTATTTTATTCTCCAGGGCCAATTAGTTTTGTTCTTTTAGAAAAGCTAACAAAGTACATCTGTGACAAAGTTAAAGAATGAAGCTACATTTATTTTAATCTTAAACACTGCAGGCGATTGTATTGTTCTGCATTATATGGATTTTAGAGAAAGAGAATTCACAGAACTGTAAATGATGCCAGATATTTATATAAGAATGGCCTTTTGTTGCTTTTAAAGGAAGCATGTTCTTAGTGATTGTTCCAAAGTTTAGCTGTTTGGAAAATAATAGGAACAGATAGTTCTGCTCCACCACACGCTTTAACCATGAAACAGTCTCAGTTTCCCTCAGGCAGGCCTAAGCATTGAATGGTTCTGCGGTGTGAAGTGACTCTATCATCTCCATCATCTTTCTTCTTTTGATTTGGGGCCATCTGGAAATGAGCTCGTCCTCAGCTTTGAGTGCAGTCCCCTAACACGCTTGATGCTGGCTAATGAACTCTGACTGAAGGCTTTCTCGCACCGCAGAGTCAAAGGCTTTGGCTGAATTTCACTTTTTTACAGCTGCTGGGGTGATGGAAGACTTAACTGAGGACCAAACTCTAGAGAGCAGACTCTGTTCCCTTGTCCTTTATATCTTCAGCTCCCTGGAGAAGTGGGTTTCCTCTCTAACACCTTGGTTTAACCAGCTTAAGCTCCTGGAGATCTCACACTTATTTTTCCCACACAGAAAAGTGCTCATTTAGCGCCTATGGTCTCCAAACTCAACTTTTGGGGTTTTACTTCCAACAAAATGGGTTAATAAGGCTTATTTTAACTGATGAGCACTTTGTGATGTGGCAAAAGCTGTGAAAAGTGCAGTCATTGTTTGAGCCAACTAAATCATTACAGATGTTAGAAACTTCAAGATGTATTGGCTTCCCACCCATTTTTAGAAAATATATTTCACTTTCAATCTGCCTTTTTGTGATTAGATTTATTTGTTTTTTTTTTAACAAATAATATGCAAATGTTACGCATTTATTTATGCATATATGTGTAGAGAAACAGAACAAGGAATGTAAAGGAGTTGAAAGTAATGATTTTGCCAAACAATCTATTATTTTTAACTAGTATTGCGATATGGGATTTTCTTTTGCTTTAACCACAAGCAAGTAGATTAATTTTCTTAACGTTTCTGTTTTTTCATAACCTTAAAAGGTTGCCTCTCCAGAGTCCATTGTTGAAAAACTTCACTCTTACTCGGTGTGACTTCCATTTGCGTGCCGGGATTTGCATGCTAGCTTCAACTCTCTCTTCCCTTCTGTGTGGCAACAAATTCACTTAAGCATATTACTGCAACCTTAAGGGCTGGAGGGAGAAATGTTTGTCTAGAATATGTCTAGAATGCAACAATATCAATAGATCAGGTCTATAACAAAATTCAGATTCAACATTAATGAAGCAAGATCTACAAATGCCACCAAATGAACAGGATTTACTAAGCCTTAATCCTCCAAAAATACTTAAATATTCAGTTTATTCACTTTCCACTGGAAAATGGGAAACAGATTTATCAGTTGGGGTGATCAGAATGTTTTGTCTAAAATCTGTCAGAGAACCTTCAACATGACTGGAAATCCTAATTTAAAAATAATTCAATAGTTGGGGCATAGGAAGCCATGGGACTTCTGGAAGCTGGGTTCATGGTCCTGGCGCCGCGTCATGCCGGGGGAATCTGGGGTGGAACTGGGGGGACCTGGGGGGCCCTAGACTTTCCTTGGGTGGGGTCCCTGCTGGGGGGTTGGGGGCTTGTTTCTGGACCGATTGGCCGCCTGGTTTGTTGACTGGTGGCTAGCCTGCTCTGGGGTCCATCGGCTCCCCTGTTGGCACTGGGACCATTGAACTGGTGAGGAACGGCATCTCACAGGCGCTCCCCCTAGAGGGGACATACTGTCAGAGTTAGGGTGGGGAGGGGAGCCGTGCATGCAACTTGACCTCAGTGTCCTAGTCTTTTTTGTTCTGAAAGCAGTGGGTTAGACCTCCTCATATGGTTGGGGTGAGTGGTGGCCTGGGATCAGGTTTTGATTTGATGATGCTTCGTTTTTTTTTTTTTTTTTAAATAGAAGAAATTAATTAGAAGAAATAAAAAAGATTAGATTGCAAATGCAATTAATTGCCCAGCTCTGGTAGTAAGAATTACATTTTTAAAATACCTGCCCCCTTTCCAAGGGAAAAAAAAACATTACCAAACGAGAAAAAAAATTCTCTAAGCATTTTATATCATTTTATCATCTATCCACTAAACAACGATGATAAGTGAAATATGAAATTATAGTTCATTTTGTCATAGCTTAGGTCCCTCATTGAATGCCGTGTTTTAAGCAGCACGTCTTATTTGATAAATGGTGTGATGGTTTGATGTTATTATTTATTTAGATATGACTATTAATTTGGGTTCTTTAAAAATATACTAGATGTTGATTTATTGATGTATTCAGGTATTCTGGTTCCATCTTCGACCCTTGCAACACCCCTGCTGGAAGATATGTAAATAAATAGGGCTGAAACAATTGGATAAGTTGATTATTGAAATAATCGTCAGCTAATTTAGTAATCGATGAATCGTTAACTGGAGTGTTACGACTCTTATGCTACATTCAGACCGGACGCAGCAAAAGCAGCAAAATCGCGTCTGCTGCTTCCTTTTTGCTGCTTGTACCAGTTAAGTTCTGACGCGCGGCTGAAGCATCTTTGCTGCTCTGGCTGCGCGGTGCAAAAGTGGCTCTGACGCGCGTTGGGCGGAGCTTCACTATCCTTTCTCTGCCTTGAAGCTTTATTTGCTGTGATCAGTGGGAATAAAGTAGTTTTGATATGTTTTTAAGTGAGAAAATACACCTGCAAACATAATCAGTGCAGTCAGTTCATCCAGATTACAATCCTGCCTCCCAATGTTATTTCTGTCGGACCCGCTCAGATCCCCACATACCGGCGTTGCGCCGACAGAAGGAATCCCTTCAACAGCAGCCTCTGGCCGGGTCACCTCCTCGCGGTTTACCGCGGCGGCTGGTAGGTGTTTTTCATCTAAATAATCCGATCTGCAGGCACCAGAATAATAAAAGCGAACATATTCTGCCGGCAGATGTATGCATTTTAAGTTAATTTAGGCGTCAATAAACTGTTAATTTAGGCGTCAATAAACTGTTTAAGAGGAGTGATCAGAGCGGTCTGTGTCATCAGCGCTGTGTCTCTCTCCCAGCCAGCTCCCAGATCAGCTTCTCTGATTGGTTGACGCGGCAACCAGCAAAAATTAAATTTTTCCATCTCGAGCAGCAGCGCGTTTGCGGCGCGTCACGCGCGTCAGATGCTTAAACGCGGCTGACGCGCTGCTTCAGCTGCTCAGACGCGCTGCGCCTGCTGCTCAAAACGCGCCGCGGGACCTTTTGCTGCGCCTTGACGCACGTCAACCATTGACTTTGCATGTAAACTCGCTGCTTCTGTCGCGCCAGCTGCGCCCGGTGTGAACGCAGCATAAAACATGCCTTTAGCTGACAGAGAAACCCACTTAGAGCAGCAATTACACCAAGATTGTAAAAACATATATCAATATTTTACATTTAAGATAAAAAAAACCTTTTGCTATCCAGTTATTAAACGAAAAAAATAATCAACTTATTAATCCTTTAGCGAAATAATCATTGGTTGCAGCCCTAGCCTTAAACTATGTTTAAGGTTTTACTGTAGAATCAGGATGTTTTACTGTCTCCTTGTAACGATCCATGTCGGGCTTTAGCACCAGCTTCCACTATGACACAAGCTGTATTGATTGAATTCATGATGCAGAGGAAACTGTAACTAGTTTGACTTATTTCTGGAATAAACTTCCTACAGTTAGTTATAACACACAATATTTAGATCTCATAGTCTTTTACACAGCATCCCTGGCACTCCGTAAACGAGGGATATTAACGTTCTGGGTCTATTTCAAGGTTCTTATTTGAACATTTAAAGTCCTACAAACTGGAGCACTCAAGGAAGGCTTTAAAAGTCGTTAATGGTTTTACGGCCTGCAGAAGGAATCGTGAGTGTTCTTCTGAAACAAGGAGCCTATCAGCAATATCCTACTTTAGCTACTTTAGGTAACTTTTAGTCCGATGATTGCAATCTTCAGGATAATACAGTGACTTCAAAAACAGATTATTTTCCAAACAGAAGCATTGCTTACAGTGTCATCATTCAGTTTTTTGCTTATAAAATCATACAGGTCTGGATATCTGGCATTATGGGTTCAGTCTGTAATTCATTATTGAATGGAATGGTTATGTTTATTCTTTTGTAAAATGTAGAATTACTATTGTTCATTAATCCTTCTGATTATTTTCATTTCAGTCATTATTCTTTTCGCCTCACCGATAGTGAAATAACCTGTTTTAATGCATGTGCACAAAAGAAAGATGGACGAATGTTGATGACCATCAGTATTTCAGAGAAACCAAAACCTTTGGAGTTTAACAAAGTCATCTGCAAACAATTGAGGCAGTTTTAGTGTGGAGAGAGGTGGAAAGACACCTCCTGCCTGTTCTTAACTATGGATGTTGGATCTGTGATGCTGTGTGCCTGGTTGTCATCCTAAGGCTGGTATACTATTTTTTTTATGTGCATGGTATAATGAAGACTTTGAAATACTGCAAGATTTTGAATAAGAAATGTAATATCTGCAGCCAGTGAGCTAATAATGGATCAGTGGGCCTTTCATCAGGATAATGACCGAATCAAATCAAATATCCTCATCTCAGTCCAAGAACTCTGGACTAACAGAATGACTGTGAAAAAGAGAGATCAAAGTTCCCTCTTTCTGTATCCTCCAAGATTTTTCAACATGTGTGTAGGATCCAGTTCACCACCATTTATCCAGCCATCAAGAGCCAAAAAAAGGCAGACAATGTCGTAAAATGAAGGCATATGTTCTTTAAGTGTACAAAGTGACTCAAACTGCAGAATAAATAAAAGTAAAGTAACACAAAATCAGTGCACGCTTTCTAAATGATATTATTAAACCAAAAGTTTCATTTATACAGCTGCAAAGGACACTTTTAAAGACTGATGGTGGTCAGAGGGCCCGGTGGCGCCAGTGTACGGCAGCCCCGCTTCTGTCAGTGAGCCCCAGGGCAGCTGTGGCTACCATGTAGCTTGCCACCATCAGTGTGTGAGTGTGTGGGTGAATGAATGTAGTGTAAAGCGCTTTGGTCAAGTCTCCTGACTTGAATAAAGGCGCTATATAAGTACATGCCATTTACCATTTACTTGATAATGCTAAGTTGGTGCCGTATAAAAACAAGTTCAAGACCCCTGTTCTAAGCTGTTACAGCTATGAGGCTCTCCCACAGAACCAACTACAGAAACAAATTGGGGGAGGATGAGGACACTTTTTAGACAGATTTTTCTTCAGGATTAGCAGTGGCTCTTTGTCCTCTCCTACAGTGCTACTGAGAGAATATCGAATATAAAATCTTAAAAAAAAAATGCTGTGTCCATTCAAATAAGGCAGAAGTAAAAACGAGCATAAATATACACACCGACAAACACTTATTTGAGGCTGTAACTATGAAATAACTATAGCTGCACCACATGGGCAATGCACTGGACTGTTTGCCCCAGTTCAGAATTATTGCATTAGAAACAAAGAGACTCAAGAACAGTTTATGTCCCAAAGCTCTGAAGCCACCACCCTCCCCACCCGATGGCAGACACCAAACATCCCTCCTGAAAATCCACTGAACCTCCAACCCTCTTCACGGATTGTTGACCTGAATGTTAAATCCATTTTTGACCTCAAACCTTAGCTTTCCAACAGAAATCAATTGTGCTGCTTCTTTCTATCTTGTTTGCTCACGTCAGTCACAATATTGGTGCAGCAGTAACTATGGTGATCACAGCTGCCTCAGTAACCCGCCCCCTCTATCTGTGGTTGGCTAGCACAGTGCCTTCTGGTTGGATTGGTTGAATGGTACCATTGGTATATCAAAGGTAGGAACAACAGAAAGTTGGCCACTCCAAAGTGAAAAATAAATAAAACACCTTCCAGTCCAGGGTGGGCTGTCCACCCACTCCACATCTTTACCAGGGTTGATATTAAGCTAATCTACATTAGATTTTTTTTTTATTTAAACCCACATTAAAACCAGAAATCCCTTCTTTTTATTTAAATTTTAGAAACTATATTTAAGAAATGTGCATTTGTTTTTATATTCCCAATTTTATCTGTTTCGATTAAATCATCCCCATCGGTCAACGAGTGTGGAGATTATTTCCTTTATCTTTCTTCCACCCAACTAACCGTCTTTACCGTTCCTCCTTTCAGCCCTTTTGACCGGTGGTTTCGGGCTCCCCGCCAAGTACGTCATCCACTGCAACAGTCCAGGCTGGGGTTCTGATAAGTGCGAGGAGATGCTGGAGAAGACGGTGAAGAACTGTCTGGCTCTGGCAGATGAGAAGAAACTCAAGTCTGTGGCCTTCCCTTCCATTGGCAGTGGCAGGTAGGGACCTGTAATAGGGTTGTCAAAAGTATCGAAACTCAAAAAAGTATCGATACTGAAATGTTGTATCCGGATACAATACTCGTTTTTAAAAGTATCGATACAGTGCCGTCACCAGTGGCACCTAAGCAGTCATTCATCTAGAGTGCAGAATAGAGGACAATGCACTTTCTGAACACTGTGGGATTGAATAATTCTGTGCTCTTTTCAGTTTCAGACTTTTTTTTTTTTGTAAGAGGTGCAGCTGCTGAGAATTATTTTTGTTTCTTAACTGGTTTGGCTAGTGTCATTGTTATGTGTGCAAAGCATAGCCAAGGAAGGAACACTTAATTTGAATTTTATAAGTTTTTTATCAAGCTTGCATAATATTATGCACAGCATACAACCTTTATTGTGTTTATTTATTGTATTTTATTTATTAATGAAAATATTTCTGTAGACTTTTGGAGTCTTTGTTTTTATCCTTGTGGTATCGAAAATGGTATCGAGTATCGAATATTTTCCTTAGTATCGGTATCGAGTTGAAAAGTTTAGTATCGTGACAACCCTAACCTGTAATACTTAGAAACCCTCTGCAGAGGGAACCCCACTAACATGGCAAACATTGTTCCTTTTATTATTCTTGTGCTTCTCAGAAAAGTTTGGCTGTTGAGATTTAATATAAAAATAAATATCTATATATTCAAAACATTTTCTAAGAGTGCAAAATTTGTTGTTTTGTAAACTCTGACTGCAGACTCATTCCTTGATGAAGAAATATATCAGTTGATTGAAATGCAGTGTATAAACAGTGATTCTGTATTCAGCCATTTCCCAATCACCTTTTCCTTTAGTGATTCTTTGATAATGAACAGATTTATTAGTCAACATAAGAGAAGCTCCAGGCTGAAGGATTCACACTTTCACCCACTTTTGATTTCCCTCAAAAAACCACAATAGAAAATATTCCAATATAGATGCGGATGCTTTGTTTTTCCTTTCTAAAGTGAAAATTGATATGGCTTCATAAAAGTTGTCTTTTGCAAAATAAACCCAGGAGCCTTCAGCGTCTTGTTCTGCTGGTGTAGTAAAGTCCTCCAGTTTATTGTTGTTCTGAGGCGTTATCTGTACCTATAAAACCAGTTACAGCACAGCTTTTTAAGATGCATACAAAAGATTACCATTTGTTTCAAAAAACAAAAAAGAATCCTCAACCTATTATTTGTTGGGGAAAAAAGATGTAGTGTCCCCCCTTAGATGTGTGATTATGGATTTATTTATTTGTTGTTTTTGCATAAGCCCCTCTTTCAGACTTTGGTGGGTTTTTTATTATTTATATTGAAAAGCAAGGAGACATCACACTGTGAGAGAGATATGCGTGCAGACAAGCAGGGTTATACTGTCATTTCTAAACAAAGTTAAAGATATTTAGCATTAGTTATCATGAACAGCAGTCTATGTTTACCACATAGAGCTGGAGTTCCTAGACATTGCCACCTGTGAGCCTCAACACTAGCATGCCCTGACTGGCAATCCCCTTAAAATGACAAGAAATTATTTTATTCTTTATTTAAAAAGGGTGAAATAATTAGATTTACTTTAATGAAAAATGCTTTGACATTTATTAGATATTATATTTTAAGGGCGTACTTAATGGAATATTTAATCATATAAATGTGCATTTCACAAATAAAGTAATAAAGTATATTTATGTTGTGTATTCATTTAGTAATATATATTCAACTGTTTAGTGTACATTTGTTGATTTCATAGGAAATATAAATAAGTAATTATATTGCTTAGATTTCAATTTAATGAACCAATTTATCATTTTTTTTTGTTTTTCCATACGGCTGCGGTGATGTCACAATAAAAGCTAGCTTTGTTATGTATCGTTTAGCCATAGCTTTAATGTCGTCTGATTTCTGCGGATTCTGCTCCTGGATTTCAGCATTTGTGTCTGATTAATCTCCTCAGGAACGGTTTCCCCAAGCAGACCGCGGCCCAGCTCATCCTCAAGGCCATCTCCAGTTACTTCGTCGCCACCATGTCTTCCAGCATCAAGACCGTCTACTTTGTGCTGTTCGACAGCGAGAGCATCGGCATCTACGTGCAGGAAATGGCCAAGCTGGAGACCAGTTAAAGCACGGAAGATATCTCCTCTTGTCGCCCCTCTCCCACTGCTTTCTGTTTTCTTTCGTAGAGAGAGAGAGGAAAGTGTTAACTGGCGATCTGTTAGAAATGAAGAAAAGAAGGAGACATGTAAAGGCCGGGAGCTTGGTTTTTGCATCCTGTTTTTTTGTTTACTCTATAGTTTTTAATTCCTTATTTACTCGTCACTTCTGGTGTTTAATTGTAGACGTGCGTTTTTTCTTTTTTTAAGATCTTTTTACTCAAAACAATGCAGCACAATGCGAAACCAACGATTACCATTTAGTTTTCAGAATATATATATAAATACCATAAAAAATACGAGATATAGCTGCACAAGGCTTCTAGAGAGGTTTCGACGATACGGGTCAATGCATGTCAAGGCAGTAAGGATATAAAAAAAAGACATCTTTTCTCCTTCTATCGAACTCAGTATCACATTTAACTGTGTTGTAGTTTTTTTGGTATCGGTTTGGGACGTCTATTGTACTGTATAAAGAAAAAGGTAAAGATTTGTTCACGTTGGTCCGCTTTGGTCTTTAGGAGACTCCAGTATCAGTGTACTAGGCTAAGTTCTTGTGTTGTGTGTTGCATATCTCACTTTTCTTGCCTTTTGTTTAGACAGGCAAAGTATTTTCTCTGTGCGCTGCAAAAACTTTGAAAAAGTCGTCCCAAACAGCTTTTAAAGGTTGATAACTGGAAGATTTCAGGTTTTTGCAGAACACCTTTTGTTTCTATTTGTGTGTTCCTATAAGTGTTCATATAGATAGGAGTGTTTGTGAAGCATTATGGGCAAATATTAAGCTGTAACACAGAATTTTATTTGTTTTATTTCCCCCCCTGATTATAAAACGGCACAAGATTTGGAACAAAAAAAAGTCGTGTAAGATTGTTTTGTGTGTGTTCCTTTTTAATTTTATTAGTTTTATAATTTTTTTATGTGTTCGTTAAGCCATAAAAGATGATATTGCTGGAAGCGAAGGCTGGTGCTGCTGCTAACATTCAGCTGCCACCAGATGGCTCTCCGTCATCAGACATGGGTGTCGGTCCTCTCTTCGTTTTTTTTTTTTTCTTTCATTCAGCAGCAAACCTCTGAGTGCACATGGATGGATCCGATTTGAGCTGGATTTGGGAATGAAGGACCTCATACGTGGAGATACCCAACTGCAGGTCGGCATTCGGACTTTTCAACAGCTTGACTTTCTTATGTGAGAAATTGTTTAACGCTTTCTAAAGAATTCCTACAATTGATGATTCTACAAAAAAAAAAAAAAAAAGATCTGTATACACTCCGGAAATAAAAAAAAAATACTTTAAAAACATCAGTAAATTTGTCAAATTATTTTGTGGTTTTAACAGGATTCATTCCTAAAAAAAGATGTTTTGATGGAAAATTACTAAACTGAAGCAGGATATAACAATAGTCTAGATATTTAATACACATTTGTTCTGAGTTTGTTGTTTAGATCCAACAGATTTTTCTTAGTAGACCTTGTGTCAGATTCATTAGATATTGGGCCCTCAGACGTCAAATATAAGAAGCTTGAGGAAGTTCACTGTTTAGTATCAATTTCTTTTGACAAATGAAGCACAAGTTCTTGGTTTCTTTCAATTCTTTAGTCTCCAGTTTCTCATCCAATGTAACCCTCAGTATTTTTGGCATTTCTACTAAATTATGTGTATCAAAGTAGGTTTATAAGAGTAAGCTTATTTTGGAAGCACAGACATAGCAGAAAATGTGAAAATAGTCCTTTTCTCTATTGAAATGTGTCTAATAGAGCTTAAACTTTAGAATATCAGCATATTTTGTCATAATTGCACACTTTGCCTCTTTCTTATTTTGAAGCATGAATAAGAGAAATGTCAGTGTAACATCTTGGTTATAATCCCAAGAAAACTGCAAGTCATAGTTTGCTAATGAAAAGTTACTTATAGAATAGAGATGTCCTTTATGCTACAGTAGGAAAATGAATTTGTGTTTTTAAACAGTGAAAAGATTAAATAGACGAATAATGGAGGCCATTGTTAGCCATTTGGACAGATTACCAGTCTTAGATATTTAGATTTATATAGATTATAGATACAGTTTAAAATGGTTTTATAGTTATATTCTTTCCCCACCTAATTTTGCTCGAATGTAGGATTATTAGTTTGAACGTGAAAAGTTGCTGCTGTAGTAAAAAAGAAAAAAAATATTTGAAGTATTTTTATCTGATTCTCATTTCTTTCAAGTCTCTTTTTTACTTTTATGTCTGCAAAGCACAATTGCTTAAGCTGAATTTCTTCACTGATCCACTTTCCTGCAGAGTAATAAATAGATTTTGTGTTGGCATGCTTTTTAAAGAAATTCTATAATTTTCAATTAAACCATTTTTTTTTTTCTGGGGCATTTTACAAACTTTTTAAAAATATTTTGAAATGCTCCTGAACGTATTCCTTAGGGTTTCTCTTGGGTGCTGAGGAATAAAGAATGATTATGGAAAGCTGGCAAAATTTTTACTTCTGAGACGAGTTATGATATTTTGACATTAATGGCTGAGCATTTAAGATCCGGCTGTTTTTTGATATAGAATAACAGGACTCCTCAATGTGGATAGGCAATTAATTGTGTTTTAGGGGTTAAAACAACTAATGTTTAACCATCAATATAAACCTGTGTAACTTCTCTTGACTGGAATTGCAAACATGGAGTTTTATACCATCGTCTGTTGCCTTTTTTTTATCTGGAAACAAATAAGGTATTTTAAGGTCAGATATTCTCTCCTTTTAAAACTAATAATCTTAACTGATAAAGAGACCCCTAACCAAACTAATGTCTGTAGTTAAGATAAGGATTAGTTTTATTGCACATTGTGCTGATACAATCATTGCCTCTCGTCTAAACAGTGTGAGCTTCTCCTACACAGAGTCCAAGTATGTTATTAGTAGAGAAGAGATGTCTCTGCAAACCTGGTTACTATGATACACACACCATATATATATATATATATATATATATATATATATATATATATATATATATATATATATATATATATATATATATATATAAGCTAAATTACAACCCTTATCAGTTTTGTTGATTGTAATCCAAATGTGTTTGTTAAATGGGAAACAGCTGGTTTAATTTAATTTTTTTATAGCAGAAGTGAATAAGTGAAATAAGGAAGGTGCAGCTATAGTGTCAGGTACTGTTTTGCAACATGGTGTTGGTTGCTGTGTGTATGTTTAATACGACCATCTGGCCTACTTTAAATAAAAAAAAAATAGGGGCCCTCCAAATGCTCCGGCTAATAGTTGATTTTCAGACACCATTCATGCTTTTTAGTGTTTGTTTAAATTCCCTTGATCTTGTGTGTAGCTTCACAAAATGACAGCTTGGCTTGGCTGTTAATACATTTTGCTTCCTTTCACATTTTGTTTCTATCTGTTGTCTCTGGTCCAATAAGTGTAAAGCTTAACGTTTTAGGCCTAGGTGCAGGTCGCTGCACATCAGTTTAAAAAAATACTACAGCCATTTTGAAACATGGTGTTGGCAGCATAATGCTGTGGGGATGGTTTTCATCAATCCTGAGAAAACCTCTCAGCCTGTAAAACAAAAAAAAGAGAAAAAAGTCTATTAACTCAGGAGCATGCAACACGTTTCATGCTTTTACATTTAAATAAATCTTTTCAGCATGCATTAGATTCTTTGTGATTGTGCAATCTTACACTGTCTTCACAGAAGATATTGAGATTATTGGTTACATTAGGACAAAATGTGAAAAAGCTCCAAGGTTTGCATACTTTTTCTAAGATCCTGTATTTTTATGAAAACTACTTCCAGGACCTCTTAATAAAGCACTGCTCGCAGTTCAGCAGCATACAAACAACAAATTACAAATTAACAAATGTAACAAAAGTGAATAATTTAAAGTTGATATTCTTTTCAAAAGAGTAATGCTTTAAGTTTGCTTCAATGGTTTCAGATCTGCTGTTGTTAATGTTTTCAGATTAATCTGGTCCAGTTAACATTACAATTGACTTCATTTATTTATGCTGGGAAATTTAAAAAACAGGCTGAGTAAAAAAGTATCATAAAAACGTTAAATGCTAAAGAATAACAAACTATTACATAATTCTGGGGTCTACCATGAAGTTTGCACTGAGTTTGCATGGCTGATGAAAATCCAGGGTGTCCTGGAGGCAGTATGCATGCAGGGAAGACCACAGAGTCAGATGGGGGTCAGTTTCCCAGCCATCCAGGGAGGCCAGGACCTCAGACCTCCTCTGAGGGCGCCCATCTGATGCCTAATCCTCAGGAAATACAGGCAGGTTTCACAGCCCTCCTCCAACCCTCCGTCCATCTCCTCCATCCATGCTTCTGCTAGCAGGCAGAAAAACCCGAGTAAATTTAAAGCATCTGTACGGGCAAGGGCCAATCCGAGGGCTGCTTTTCCCAGAGCCCGCGCAGATCAAATTTTATTCTTTGCACGAAAAAATTACAGGGGGAGGGTGGCTGGAAAAACAGAAATTAAAGCAAAGCAAACACTGTGGAAAGATCAAGGAGGAGAGGAGATGAGGGGCGAGGAGCTGGTCATCTGAGATCAGCACTGCTTTTCATTGTGTGTTCATAAGGAGGGAATATTATGATGGTTATGGAGCTGAGTCCTGACTCTGGAGCCTGATAACAACAACAGTCTGCCTCCACACTGCTCCTGCTCCGGGACAGTCAGAGGAAACTATCGCTGGTGAAACAAAGGATTGGTTGTACACTGAAAATATTACTTTTGATACAGCACAAAATATAATCAAATGAAGCCTTTTGGTTTTGAAGGTTTCAACCCATATCTGCTTTATATATCAGATATGATCAAGATTGCTTATAAAAAAAAAAACATTCAAAATTTCAAATCCCGTTAAAAAGGTAAGACGCTGAGAGTCTAATAGTTTATCAGTTTTTTACCACACATTCAAACATATTTGAGGATTTTATGCAAAAGAATAATGCAACATTCTGCATGACGGGTGAAGTAAATATGTTTTAATGTTTTTGTTTTACCAACAAAATGTGTGAAATCCATTTTAAACCAATTTACTTGGATATTCCCAGTTAAAAACTAAAAGAGTATCCTGAATGCTCATATCCCCACAGTGATATGGGGTGGCAGCATTATGCTGTGGGAATACTTTTCTTCAAGTGGACATGGAAGGTAGTCGGTTACTTTGTAGAAAGATCAACTGAAGTATAACGTGATCCAGTCAGCTGAGGTCAGCCTTCTGTAGAAAATTAGATTATGATTTAACTAGATCCAATAAAAATAAACAAGGGGTTATAATTACCTTTATTATAGCCTTTTAAAGTCAAATAAACAGAGCTATAGAGAAGCAATATATTTTTGTATGTTATTTAGATTTGCTGTATAATTTGGATGTTTTTTTTTATCAAGATCAAGTATTCACTTTCTTTTAAATCTTTCATCTGTCATTAAGCAAACTTTTCCCACAGAAATTCAATCTGTTGTTGGAAGCAGATGTTTAATCCGTCGACACAAAACAAATTTCTTTTTTTCATTGTTTCACAAGCTATGGCTGTATGCATCTCCTCCTCTTTATGTTTGTTTCCAAAATCATCAAAAAGTATAAATGTAATGTTAGTAAATGAAGAGGATGAGAAACCTGCCATTACTGAGGAACTCGAAATGGTGAGTAAAGCATAAACACTTAAAAAAATAAGATTGACTGTGGAGGAAAAACTGCAATTTTTAAATGGGAAGTGAAACATGAATGTGTAAAAAAGAAAACAGAATTAAATCATTGTGCATTTCTTTCCTGAGGATGATATTGCTGTGTTACATAATGGCTGAGTGTCAATGGCAGTATTGTTCCTTGAGTAGAAAAAGAAAATCCATTAAAAATATCTGTAAAATAATTTTACATAAGTTTAAAAAACATAATATCAGGGGCTGAATGAGAGACATCCGAATTAGATGAGAATTGCTTGCAAAATTCAGAATTTATGTTTAATTTAGAGCATATAGTATTCTATTATTAAATTCCTAAAGTGTATATTGTCCACCTGAGTAAATGTGGAAAACCTCTTGAATGAATTATATTTTTCCATCATATTTTTTATGCCTTAAGAATGATAAAAACACTTTGGAAAAAAGAAACCGGACTGTAGTTATCATAATTCGTAGATTTAAGTGTTAAGAGGTAATTCAAAATGTACAAGGTGAGTTTAGTGTTTTCCATTTGATGAAAAGTCCGGAATCTAATAAACAAAATTTGGAAAATGTTTTAATAGTACTGTAGCGAT